GGTGCTCAGTTCAAACCCAGCCCCAGCCAAAAACTGCAAAATAAATAAATAAATAACTAGGTGTTGTGGCAGGCACCTATAGTCCTAGCTGCTTGGGAGGCTGAGGCAAGAGAATTGCTTAAGCCCAAGAGTTTGTGGTTGCTATGAGCTATGATGCCATAGCACTCTACCAAGGGCAACAAAGTAAGACTCTTGTCCTCCAAAAAAAAAAAATTCTTTTTTTTTTGAGACAGAGCCTCAAGCTGTCCCCGTGGGTGGAGTGCCGTGGCATTACAGCTTACAGCAACCTCCAACTCCTGGGCTCAAGCGAGTCTCCTGCCTCCACCTCCCAAGTAGCTGGGACCTTAGGCGCCCGCCACAATGCCCGGCTATTTTTTGGTTGCAGCCGTCATTGTTGTTTGGCGGGTCTGGGCTGGGGATTCGAACCCGCCACCTTAGGTGTACGTGGCTGGCGCCTTAGCTGGTTGAGCTATAGGTGCCGAGCCAAAAAAAAAAAATTTTTGGATTTAGCTGCTTTGTATTTCCTCTTATACATATGTGTTTCCTTTCTGGAATACATGGCAGATCAGGATGTATTCCTCTGACGAGAATAGGATTTCAGCTGCAGTGGGGCTTCCCCTTCTTGGCCTTAGGCTTCTTCTCTTTATTAACAGATTTCTACTCTTTAGTAACCAGCTTCTCAACTTTTTTACCCACCATCTTGCAAGATGGGAAAGAGAACTAAAGGCTCCATTTCAGGTTTATGTGATTGTTTTCTTATTAAATTTTTGTCTTAATAATTGTCTGGGTAATTTATAAAGAAAAGAAATTTATTATTCACAATTCTGGTGGCTAGGAATTAATTTCAATATCAAGGTGCCAGCATGTGGCCAGGGCCTTTGTGTCATACCATGCTGTGACAGAAGGGCAAGTGAGGGTGCGAGTGTGAGACAGAGGGCTCAACTTGCTTTTTTAGCAAACTGCTCTCTCTACAACAAACCCAATTCCCCAACAATGACATTAATTCATTCATGAAGGCAGATTCCTCGTGGCCTAATCACCTCTTGGCATTTCTATCTTTTAAATCTGTCACAATGGAAATTAAATTTCAGCATGAGTTTTGAAGGGGACATCAAACCATGGTAATTTTGAAGTTCTTTATGTATTCTGGACTCAAGTCTTTTATTAGATATACGATTTGGAAATGTTTCTCACTAGGCTGTGGCTTGTGTTGTCATTCTTTTAACAGTGTCTTTGCAAAGACAGAGGGTTTTAATTTTACTAGTTTATCTTATCATTTTCTTTCTTGTTTCCCATATTTAAGAAATCTTTGCCTAGCCAAAGGTCACAAAGATTTTTCTCTCATGTTTTTTATAGAAATTGTATAGGTTTATATCCATTTTGAGGATTATTTTTAATGTATGTCAAGTTATGTATCAGCATTCTTTTTTGCATATGGATATACAATTTTTTGGCATCGTTCGTTTTAAGGACTCTCTCCACTGAATTGCCTTTGCACTTCCATCAAATATTGAGTCTTCATATATTTGTGGGTCTATTTCTGGACTTTATATTCTGTTCCATTGATTTATATGTCTGTCTCAATGCCAATATCACAATCTTGATTACTTTAGCATTATAGTGTGTCTTGAAATCTGGTAATATTAGTAATACTCTTTACTTGTCATATTTTGCTTTTTTTTTTTTTGCATTTCCGTAATGACTTGGTTTTTGGCTTTTGTTTTTTTTTGAGACAGAGTCTCACTTCGTCATCCTGGGTAGAGTACGGTGGTGTCATAGCTCACAGCAACATCAAACTCTCGGGCTCAAGCAATCCTGCTTCAACTTCCTAAGTAGCTGGGACTACAGGCACCTGCCCCCAAAATCAGCTATTTTTAAAAACAGGGTATCACTCTTGCTCAGGCTGGCATAATAAATTTTAGAATCACCTTCCCAGTTTCTACAGAAAATCTTGCTGGAATTTTTCATGAAATGATATTAAATCTATAAATGAATTTAAGAAGATTAACATCTTACTACTTAGTCTTATTAATATAAATTTATAGTTATTATTTTATAAATTTATCTTTTCAGTCATATACGAAAAAGGACTTACAAACCCAAAATACACTAACACTGGTTTTTGTAGTTGTTTAAGTAGACTTTTGACTTCTAGTTATTGTCTAGTGTCCTTTCACTTCAGCCTGAAGGACTTCCTTTAGCATTTCTTATAGGGCTAATCTATTAGCAGTGAACTCCTCGGCTTTTATTTAATGGAAATGTCTTAATTTTTCCTTCACTATTTAAGGATAATTTTCCTTGATATAGAATTCTTGGTTTTTCTGGACACATTAGCTATGCTGTATATATATCACATACCTATAATCCTAGAACTGGGAGACTGAGGTGGGAGGATAGCTTAGCTCCAGAGTTCAAGACCAGCTTGAGCAAAGTAAGACTCCATCTTTAAAAAAAAAATTCTTCATTTACAGTTTGGGTGGGTTTTTTTTCCCCTCTGCACTTTATGTTATACCATTTCCTGGGACTTCCTTGGTTTCTGGCAAGAAATTGGCTGTTAATCTTATTGAGGATCCCATATATATTTCAAGTCTTTTCTTTCTAGCTGTCAAGTCTCCATCTTTGGCTTTTGACAATTTGATTATAATGTGTCTCAGTGTAGAACACTATGAGTTCATCCTATTTAAAAGTTCATCAAGCTTATTGGATGTGTAGATTGATTTCTTTTATCAAATATGGATATGTCTTCAAATATTCTTTCTACCTCTTTCTTTCTCTTCCCCTTCTTGAACTCCCATTATGTGTATTTGGTGTGGCAGATAATGTCTCACAAGTCTTTTAGGCTCTGTTCATTTTTTTCTTGTATTCTTTTAATTTCTGCTCCTCATTCTGGATTATTTTATTTTCTGTATCTTCAAGTTTACTGATTTTTTATTCTCTCTGCTCTTACCTGCTGTGGAACTGCTCTAGTAAATATTTAATTTCAGTTTTTGTACTTTTCAGCTCTCAAGTATCTTTTTGGTCTCTTTTAATAGTTTCTGCCTATTTATTGCTATTTTCCATTTATTAAGACATTGTTTTCCTGGTGTCCTTTAGTTCTTTGTCCATAGTTTCTTAATTTTTTGAACATGTTTGAGATGGTCCAATTAAAATCTTTTTCTAGTAATTCCAGTGTCTGTACTCCTCAGAGACAGTTTCTATTAATTTATTTTTTTTCCTATAAATGGGTCATATTTTCTTGTTTCTTTGTATGCTTGTGATTTTTTTTGTTTAGAACTACACAATTTTGAATATCATGATGGTCAAAAAGAAAAAAATAAAGCCCCTCTCCCCCCCCAAAAAAATACTCTTCAGGTCTTTGTAGATTGGCTTTATGTTGGGGCTTCCTTTATCACTTTTCCAGGTCTTTTACAACTCTGCCTTGGCTTCAACTTCCTGTTAGCACTGAGCCTAGAGATCACCCAGTTATGAAAACTATAGTCTTTCTGGGCCTTTTCTAAACATGCATCCTGCCCTGTACACATGCAAGACTTTTTAGCTTCTCCAGTCATATGTGAAAGGTTTTTTCTTTTTTCTTTTCTTTTTTTGAGACAGAGTCTCACTTTGTCACCCTTGGTAGAGCTCCATGTTGTCATAGCTCATAGCAACCTTAATTAAACTCTAGGCTTAAGAGATTCTCTTGCCTCAGCCTCTGAAGTATCTGGGACTATATAGGTGCCCACCACAACATCTGGCTATTTTTAGAGATAAAGTCTCGCTCTAGCTTAGGCTTGTCTCAAACCTGTGAGGCCAGGCAATCCACCTGCCTCAGCCTCCCAAGCTAGGATTACAGGTGGGAGCCACCATGTCTGGCCCAGTGGAAGCTTTTCAAAACCTTTATTCCCCAAAGAGGACCATGGTGCAGGTATGCAGATAGCATATGCCCAGAAAAAACATTATTAAATTTCTAGCAGGTTCAAAGTTCAGATGTTTGTTGCGGAATACAAATTATTAGGAAACAAACTGTTACCAATATTATATCAAGGATTTTTAGCATAAAATAGGCTTTTCAGATAAAATACCCATATTAAGTATTGTGTGGGATATACTTAAAAACTTATTATTGTGGGCGATGCCTGTGGCTCAAAGGAGTAGGGTGCCAGCCCCATGTGCCAGAAGTGGCGGGTTCAAACCCAGCCCCAGCCAGAAACTGCAAAAAAAAAAAAATTTTATTCTCATTATTTATCTGAAATTCATGTTTAAATGAGTGTCCTATATTTTTATTTGCTAAATCTGGCAACCAGATCCTGAAACTATCTTTTTGAAAGTAAATGTTTTAAAGGTACAGGAAGTATAAATATCAGAGCAGGAGAAAAGATTGAAGCTTCATAAAAACAAATTGAAAAACAAGTCTGAAGAGATTCTGGATAACAGTCTACCAAAGTATCTAGAGTCTATTCTTCAAAAGGTAGTTAAAATTAGCTTTCCCCCAAAAGGAGGTTATTGTTCATTGTTGGCATATAGGAATACTACAAGATGGGACTATTTTTGATACTACTATTAGAACTATTTTAAAAGTTTTAAGGTTGTAATGAAGCACTCTTAACTAGGGGTAAAGGAGAAAAAGCTCACTTAGAGATAGAAGAGAGCCAAATACCCAGAATTCCATTAAACTCAAACTTATTTTTGAAGTGGAATTAGCAACTGAAATAATAAGGCTATATGTAAATGAACAACAATGGCATAAACCTATGACCTTGAAAAAACATGTGTCACTTATTACAGTTCCTTACTCTACTGATAATCCTTCAAGATGTTAAGTTAAATCTTGCTTGTTTCCTTCCTTCTTACCTTTTGAGAATGTGATCCTTTACAAATCCTTGAGTTGTAAGATCTGTTATTATAGCTATGTAAAATACTTGTTAAAGAAAACTGATTTTTCTTTTTGCTCATGTTGTAAACTAAAAAGCTTAATTCATTGTTTTTTTTAAAGACACACTGTTTGATATGTACTTGCATTACAGGCAGTGAGATCACTCAAGGAGACAATCGAAGACTGCTGGGATCAGGATGCAGAAGCTCGGCTTACTGCACAGTGTGCTGAGGAGAGGATGGCTGAACTTATGATGATATGGGAAAGAAACAAATCTGTGAGCCCAACAGTCAATCCAATGTCTACTGCTATGCAGAATGAACGGTAAGATACTGAGGGGTTTGTCATCTCTCAGTTAGCATTAGAAAGTGAGACCAAACAAAGAATAAGAAATAAAAATTATTAAACTAGCCTAATGATACAATGATTAACTAATGTGATCTAAAGTTGTAATTTTTTCTTCAGTATTCCCATTCTTCTACTGAAAATTTTTTTTGGTATGAATGCAAGATGGAGTCTGTGTTCTTTGTATCTAAAAGTATAGTAAAGAAGATTAGTCTTTCTCTATTAGTACTCCTTGATAAAGGCAAAACATTTTCATGGTTCCAAAAGTTTGTGAGCCCTTCTACATATATTGTTTGATTTATCCTTTGTTATTATTATTCCTTCTTACCCTGCTTTTATTTTATTTTTTTAATGTAAGTGGAACCATGTATCTAACCACCAATTTACTAGTGCTAAGGTTTCCACACTTCCTATCCAATGCTATTTCTTATAGAATACACTGCTACTACATTTACATGGATGCAATTCAAAGGTCTTTCTGTTACATCATAAACATTATTTTATAAGACATTTTATTTGTTATAAATATGATTTTTTTTTTTTTGGACAGGGCTGGGTTTGAACCCACCACTTCCGGCATATGGGGTTGGCGCCCTACTCCTTTGAGCCACAGGCGCTACCCAGAACTACGATTTTGCATTTTAAATTAAAAGACTTTTTAAAAGTGCCTACAAATTCAGAAAAAAATACGTCTATATTTCTTTTTTCCATGTTTGGGGAAGAAAAGCCTCACTATGAATTTGGTACTTTATCTAATACATGTTTAAAATTTTCAGAAAAGCATCTAGGAAAGTGTTACCAAAAAAATTTAAGATAAAAATGCACTTGATTCTTAAACCATTTTCTTTGTCATTTTATATTCTTCTAATTTCTAAGAGCAATTTATACTATGAACTATGTTTCAGAAATTGGTAGGTTGAATTAGCTTCAGATATAAACTCTGAATATCTGAATACCTTACACATCAGCAGGTTGAGGAAGATAGAGCCTCACAACTCTATAAATTTTCTTTCTTTATATAAGACCTGATGACAGTCTTCTGCTTTCATCTTCCCTTATCTCTGTATTTTTTATGTCCTATTTATAGCTTTCCCAAAAGAGCTAAAAGCCAGGCATGGTGGCTTCTGTCTGTAATCCTAGTACTCTAGGAGGCCAGGGTGGAATCTCTTGAGGTCGGGAGTTCAAGACAAGCCTGAGCAAGAGCAAGACTCCATTAGAAAATTAGCCAGGCATAGTGGCCCATGCCCGTAGTCCCAGCTACTAGGGTAGCTATGGCAGGAGAATCACTTGAGCCTAGGTGTTAGAGGTTGCAGTGAGCTCTGATGACACCACTGCATTGTAACATGGATGACAGAGCAAGACTCTGTTTTGTTTTGTTTTGTTTTGTTTTGAGACAGAGCCTCAAGCTATCTCCCTGGGTAGAATGCCATGGCATCACAGCTCACAGCAACCTCCAACTCCTGGGCTCAAGCGAGTCTCCTGCCTCAGCCTCCCAAGTAGCTGGGAC